TAAGCAAATATTGTTCTTAAAATAAGAATTGCAGAATCGAATATACATATACTAAGTGACATATAAATCCGAACACCAAGTTTAAATGGTTTTATTTTAATAAAAGTTGGTGAATGTATTTATCGTACTGTAAATAACAAGTGAAAAATTTTCAGCCTTATCAGTTGGACATTCCGGTTTTATACTGCTTTTTTTTAATTCACTAACGCTCTAAAAATGAATATTTCAGCCGCAGTAAAGGATCAACGTTGGCGGATTTTGGTTCTTGACATCCTTTACGATCGGTTACGATGCCTAGAGTACGGAGACCTGTACGATTTCGTCAACTTAGTGAGTTTGATAGGGGCCGTATAGTAGGACTTCGGGAAGCTGGACTTTCTTTTCGGACAATTGCAGTTAAAGTGCAAAGAAGTGTAGACACTGTGGTTAGGTGTTGTCAGGCATGGCTTCGAGAAGGCCGTACGCAAAGAGCAAGGGGCACTGGACGCCGCCGTAGCACAACAGACCGTGAAGATCGCCGCCTAAGATTATTGGCCTTAAGGGACCGTTTCTCCACTACCAGGTCCATTGCAAATGAATGGTTTGCAGAACACGGAAGACCTATTGGCATGCGAAGTGTTTACCGACGAATGAGAAGTTTTGGCTTGTTTTCATACCGTCCACACTGGGTCCTCCCTTTAACTCGAGAACACGGACGTAATCGCCTTGAGTGGTGCAGATAACGGTCACTCTGGGATCAGGAATGGAACAGTATTGTCTTTAGTGACGGGTCTCGATTTTGTTTAGGCATGCACGATGGTCGTGTCAGGGTTAGAAGGCGACGTGGTGAAAGGAGGAATCCACAGTTTTTTGTTGAAAGACATGTTCATCACACTGTTGGAGTTATGGTTTGGGGTGCTATAGCTTATTGTTCCAGGTCACCTTTAATCTGCATCAGAGGTAACATGAACGCGCAGCGTTATATCCACGAAGTTCTAGAACCCCGTCTTTTACCCTATCTTGACACCCTGGCAGATCCAACTTTCCAACAAGATAATGCCCGACCACATGTTGCAAGAGTCACAATAGACTTCTTTCAACATAATGATGTCACATTGTTACCATGGCCACCAAGATCAGATCTCCCGACTTATCCCCAATTGAGCACGTGTGGGATATGATGGGTAGGAGATTGCTAAATTTGCAACGTCCTCCTCAGACTCTAGAAGCACTTCGAGAGGAGTTGGTGGTTGCCTGGAATGAGATACCACAGGAGGACATTGACCACCTGATCAGAAGCATGCCTAGGCGCGTTGGAGAATGCGTAGCACATCAGGGTGCATCCACACATTATTAAAGGTCAAAGGGCTTTAAAGCAGTGCAATCATTTTGAAATTTTTATCATTTACTTATTATGCTTCATTAAGTACTTATACAAAATTTTATTAAAATAAAACCATTTAAACTGGATGTTCGGATTTATATGTCACTTAGTATATATGTATGATTATTATGATATGGCAATGTATTACTTGTCAATCGATACATTATATTATACGACAATATGTAATTAATATCTTTATTATAATTAGTGAATTCAAAAAGATTTAAAAAAGCCTGTTGCAATCAACTTTATTTCGAGTAGCCTCCAGCAAAGAAATATGTCAATTTTTGCTGCAGCTAACTCCAGCTTTCATAGTTATAGCACATTATGCAATAATACATATATTATATCTTGAAGCCATATAAAATTGTAATTTGTGTGCAATCGATAATTTGCTGGCATGCATAGTCGTCATACTAAATCCGCCATTTAGGTTTTTTGACAGTCCATATTCAATTCGTTATTTGCGATGTTGAAGACACACACAAAAAAATTAATTTTGAGCGTGATCATTTTTTGCAAACATAGCCGACATATTAGAACCGCTAGCTTGATTTTTGATCAGTCGATATAAAATCCGTTATTAGAGACCCTGAAAACATCTAAAACTTAAATTTGAGTTCAATAAAAACATTTTTCAAATATGTACACCATACTAAATCCGCCATTGGGATGTTTGACAAATGGATATTATATTCGTTATCGACCTGTAACGCATAGAAACGGATTATTTTTTGTAAAATTTAGGAAATCTTTCTAATTTTGGCCTATTTTAGGACTTTTGAACTACTATGTCTAGGAAGTCCGGCACAGGTATCACGTATCTTGCAAAGTGACATTATGCCGATTTTTTTTGACATTATGCTAGTTTTTTTGACATTATGTAGGTTATTCTACAATATGTTAACTTAGGACCTAGTTGTACGTGCTGCCTAAACGACATGAGGCTTGTTATCAATCTTTGGCTCTGATGTGATGTAAAATCTGCTTCTGAGATGGCATTACTGGAGATCTAAGCTGTACGTTTTTTGAGTTCTTGTCTCAAATACACTTAATTGAGATTCAAAGCTAGAAATTAGTTCTTATCCATTCTGGAAATTACATATACAAAGTTGCTGAATTTCAAAAATAAGAGAGATAAGAAATAATTATATTCACTGTACACTGTCGAATTACAAGCTATAGGTATACATGCTAACAGTAATTACACACTACGCGGGCGCGGTGATGATTTTCCGTAATTGTCCTCAGTTTTTCGTAATTTATAACTTTGAACATAACCTTTCTTCAGAAAGCACAAGATATAAATAACCCGTCATATTCGGCATATTCAGTGATAATTTTCTCACACAGCAAATATCACTGATTTTATACACATGCAGACCAATACGCATAATCATCCAGATGCAATCTTGCTATTCAACCAACTTTCGTCTCAGAAATAAAAACTACAGACCCGGATGCATTTTAACACTATGGTATAGGATTCGGCACCAGCCTTAATTTTATTGGTCAATTTCAATTTATTTAACCAATAACAAGCTGGGTGCCGAAATCACTACCAGAATGTTAAACAGTGCTGAAAACAGTGTCAGAATGTTATCAATAAACTACTTCTACTAATATATTTATAAATATAACATGAGACGTGGTCATTGTCGTCTAGACCAGTTAGGTGAAAAATTAAAGCTTCCGCCTTTTGTTGGGTACTTCGACAAAATTTAAGGAAGAGGACTCTTTATACTTTTTTTATTCTCTCTAGCTTTCAATGGTCTTTGCCATCATCATCAGGAGAGTAGTATGTGAGGATGTTGTTAATTGTTGTTTACGTTAAGGATGAGGGAAACACCCAGTAACATGGTGAAAGCTGGATAAATGTTACAATGGTCAAAATTATATAAAATACACACAGCTGTATGACAAGAACAAGTTAAAAAGAGTTTAAAAATTTTTTTAGAAATTGATAGTTAAACATTACATCGTGAAGCCACTTGATGATTGCACATGCCCACCATTTTGTGCAATCACCAAGTGGCTTCACGATGTAATGTTTAACTTTCAATTTCTAAAAAAAAATTTTATCTGTTTTTAACTTGTTCTTGTCATACAGCTGTGTGTATTTTATATAATTTTGATCATTGTACCATTTATCCAGCTTTCACCATGTAATTGGGTGTTTCCCTCATCCTTAACGTAAACAACAATTAGCAACATCCTCACATACTACTCTCCTGATGATGATGGCAAAGACCATTGAAAGCTAGAGAGAATAAAAAAGTATAAAGAGTCCTCCTTGCTTAAATTTTGTCGAAGTACCCAACAAAAGGCGGAAGCTTTAATTTTTCACCTATATAAATATATATAAATTTTTCATGTAATTGTTCTTATTGCTAAACCAAATTATTAATTTTAAAATCATTAAATATCGTAATAGGAAACAACGTGCGTTGATTATTATCTTACGTATTTTTAGCGGAAGGTAAGTAAATTTAAATTTAAATTGATAACATTCTGACTCCATGTTCAGCACTGTTTAACATTCCGGTAGTGATTTCGGCACCCGGCTTGTTATTGGTTGAATAAATTGAAATTGACCAATAAAATTAAGGCTGGTGCCGAATCCTATATCATAGTGTTAAAATGCGACCCGGATCACTCAGCCTCACAAAACTATGCAACCAATAATGCGTAGTTTAGTTGAATGTTTACTCCATAGATGAACGTTTACAACGAGCCTAGTGAGCAAGCGTGGAATCACTGTTTGCGCCCCAAAAACTACCTAGTCTGCAAATTGACATCTTATAGGTTTTTTTTGAAGTTTTATAGGTTTTTTACATGATACCCGTGCCGGCGCAGAACCCGAACTTATATATTGTGACGTTACGACCAAACCTCGACGCGCGACTGCCATTTTGTTATAAATTAAGAATAATTGATGACATTAATAGGAAAAAATAAATCGGTCAAACGGCCACCCCCCGAGATGATGCATAATTGAATTGCACTCGATTCACGGCATTTTGAATTGCTCGCAAAACACATGGCTCCAAATTGGCGATTTCTTCTTCAGTGTTAGTTTGCAAGACTTGCAAGCTTTGCGGTTTGTTGTAGCACGCCCGAGAGTTTAAAAAACTACATAGGAAAAAGTCTGGTGCTATTAGATCTGGCGATCAGGATGGCCAGGTTGAATCTACAAAACGGGAGATCACTCGCCCGGGCAACTGGTGTCTCCATGGCTCTGCCTGTAACGCTCACCAAAAAAAGGGCCAATCACTTTTTTACTGCAAATGCCGCACTAAACAGTTACTTTCAGAGTATGCAATGGCTCTCCTGGCATTTCATGCAGTTTCTTTGTGCCCCAGACATCCAAACTTTCTTTGTTGACATAACGCCTTGAGTAGAAATGGGCTTCGTCGCTCATTATGATTTTTGATATGAAATCATCTTCTTCTTACACCAAGTTTAACAGAATATGGCAGTAAGTTTACCTTGTCCGACGGTCAAAAGACAGCAATTCATGAACAGATTGCTCTCTGTAGGGGAACATTTTCAAATCTTCCACCAAATTTTGTTGCAACGAAAGTCTACTAATGCCAAATAGTGTCATCTCGTTAATGTTCATAAATTCTCTCTGCAGACAGACTGAAAGTTTGTCAAATCAGCAGAAACAATAATTCCACTTTCTTAAGGTGTATGTCCCTCCATGGCTTGTTGAAAACTAATTCTCCATATATCTACATCATAATTTTCAAATCATAGTAACATTTGGCGCCATCTGCAGAAATGGCGGCCAATTCAAGTCATGCAATTAGGAAATTTCCTAATTGGTCAACAAAATGGTGAATGTGCATACTAAACTGATAAGCAGACTGATACAATAAAAGATCTATTAAGCTTGTTTCACGATTTTTCTATGATTCCGGGGGTACTCAAAAATCAAGAATCTAGGTTTTGAACGACTTTCTTATCGCTTCCTGATTGATAGGTATTAGCGCAAAATCCGAGGACGACATTTGTTAAAATGGTGAATGTGTATGATTAAACAGATCAGGCAAACTGCTAAAATAAGAGAATATTAGTTACGCTTGTTTCACTATTTTCTCTACGATTTTAGCAGTTATTAGCAAAAATCTTCGTTTGGATGGACTTTCTAATCACTTGGCTGAAACGTAGTAGCACAAAATATGTAGACACCACTTGTATAAAATGGTGAATGTGCATACTGAATTGATCGGACTTAAGGTACATTTACATCTCACATTTATTGTATGATATTTATCTAAGAGCATCTGATATATGTAAGTAGCATTAACTGTTTACATTATTAGAAATTCATGTAATATACTTATGTGGGACATATATTCCAAAAACTAAATATACATTGAAGGGTAGCTCAGTTTAGACTAGGCGGTGTCTCGGTATAGTGGATATAACTATACGAATAACGCAAGAGAAATCAGAGAAGAGGTTCGAGAGTATTTTTTTAGCCATCAAGATGGAGTTCCTTGGCAATATAATTTAATATCAGGATAATATAAAAAAAAATAAAGAAGACAAAACTGAATTTTTTTTCTTCTTGCCGTTGTTATATTTCCCATTGCTGATCTGCATACTATACCACTTTGTAAAAACAAAAGCGATTTAAAATACTTCCACTTTGATGGATAAAGCTCGTCGGTGCCTGGCCTGACTTTTTTTAGCAATTTTTTTTAAATTCGCTGTTGAATTGATTCCTTAAGTTATGAATTTTCCTCGTTCTTTCATCCACAGTGGTTCCAACTTTTTCAGCAATCTCACTTAGAGCACTTCGTTTTTTCACTCTATCTTTATAAACTTTACATTTAACATCCCAAATTTCTGGTTTATTGCGGTACACATTACTTAGCTCATCAATTCCACTTTTTAACCATTCTTTTTTATCACCCATCGTGTATATGCGAGAATAAATTGCAGGACACTTCTTCAAAAGTAGACGTCTAGTAAACTAGCGCGATTTATTTCCAGCACGTCGAGACTTGTAAGAGCAGCATGTTTAATCGTATAGATATCTCGACACATATTACCAAAGACTGATACATATATTTCAGACATCAATTTTTGGTCGTTTACATTAATCAGAACTGGTGTCTGACATAAATGCTATGCAATATATGATGTAAGCGTACCAGTAGAGCTCACCAATTATTTTGAGAATATTCTTTCATTTCAGAAACTTCGCACATAAACCAACCAATGCATGAAACGATTTCAGAGAGAAAGAGATTTTGGTTTTTGACTGATCCATGTGTGTAGTCTTGATTTATTAGTTATAGGAATTATCTATTCTATCCTATCCATAGATACATGGAATTTTGTATGAATACTCAAAGTAGGATTTGATTGGAAGTGTAAAAAAAATGTTAGATAATTTGCTCGTTTTTCACATTCATACATTTAATCCACCGAGATAATGGGATTATTTAGCCTACCACCATCTTCGATTTTGAATTGGCATGATGCAAAACAGAACAATAGTTAAACCATATTTCCAGTGTTTAGCGCATAATCAACATATAGATATATTTTCTTGGATTCTATTCTCTCGACACAGATTTCTATAGGTGTAGTCACCGTTCTTGGCGGTTTCGTCATCAACGCCATATGAAATAAGTAAACAGATCGAGTCTCCATACCACGGGCGGATCTAAATTTTCCTAACTAAGGGAAACCAATTCAAAATTATTTACCAATCGTAATTTTCAAAAATATTCTAAGCTAGTACATAAACATGGGTAGAGTATGACACAGCGTTGTACATGTAAATTTTTTAAGCTTCTGTTGAGCACAGAAGTCGTGATATGTTGTCCTTTACTTCTCATATCGTAGAAAGCATTCCTACTTTCTGTTTTGACGGCATCACCCTTCTTGCATTTGTATTTTCTGATTTTATTCTCTAAACACTGTGCAGACTAATCTTCAGCACATCTGCTAGTGTCTCCAGTACGCAAGAAGTGGATAATAGGGAACTGCTGTTTTCATTCTCTTCCTGGAAATACTATAATAAAATTAGCACGAGCTGTCGGCCTTCTCCATTGATAGTATTTCCGGGCATTGTACAAGTTTATATTGATTATGATTGAAGGACACTCATACCTAACTACAAAGTTTTCGAGACTGAGACACACAACTAAAAAACGTATGTCTTTGAGCTTACCGAACAAACGTTCACACACAGGGGTAGGTTGCATGTGTATGTATGAGGGAGACGGAGATATATAAAGGGATACTGGTAGTCTGACTTTGAGCCGCCAAGAACGGTGACTTCATCTATAACAATTCACATTATGAAATATTGAGAAAAGAAGAATATTTCTACATTCAAATGGCGATATTTTTAGGACGGCATTTACTTCAGATGGGGTAAGAAATGATCTATATTCGTAGTACAATTATGTAACATCGTGTCAAATTTCAGCCTGTTGTTAATCGTTTCGACCTCAAAATCCATGCCTCTATTGAATAAACTTTTCGTAGATACATGCTGAGACATCTGACTGCTTACTACAACTATATCGCCATATTTTGGATCCTTGCTTCTACCTCCAGTCTCATAATTAACATCTATTCTTTGTTCATCATTCCGATGGACCCTCTTGGATACCTTTTGCTAGCATGGAAAACAGGCATGTTGTTGATCCTGCTTATCTACTGGATCGTACACGTTGACATGGCCAATATCGTAAGTTCGTAAACCAATGTACAGGTTGTGTATTTAGTTATTACTTAGTGCGAAATCTAAAAAGCGAAAAAAACGGCAACGGTCGTTGCCGTTCTTTAGTCTAATGCGTAATCTTCCGTAACACAACCTGTAAAAGCTTACTTGTCAAGCAACGTTCACAAAGAATAGGAATAGACTTACTCTATACAGGGTGTCCCAAAAAAAACCGTGCAATATTTTACCAGCGGTTTCTAGAGCTCAAAATAGAAACAAAAGTTTATAAAATCATAGGTCGACAAACGTCCCCTAAGGGCGCTACGGTCATTTAAAGGGGCTCTCCTGAAGATGGTTTTTCCTTAATATTTCCGCAACGTGTTGAGATAAAGACATAAAATTTGGTATTCTAGCCTAGTTTTTTATGCTGGCTTTAAAAATATTAACAATTTTAGACAGTTTTGTTTGCAAGAGTATGTAACAGGGACGGACTCAGGTTATTTGAGCCCCAACATTTTCGTGTGATTCTATTTTTGAAATTCAATTTTAGAATTTGAAAATTTAGGGTTTTCTACATAAAAAAGGTACTCTTATTGAATATCGATAAATTGTGCCATTTTTGAATAAAATCAAACTAAAAAATTTGTCACATGATAGGAAATGTACTGCGAATTTAAATGAATTGTGAATAATTAGCCATGGCAACGGAAAAAATAATTTAATAATTGATAAATATTACATAAATACATATTTCTATTGCAACATAGCTAACATTTAGGCAAAAACAAAAGAAATAAATTTTTTCTACGAACGAAATTGAAATTTGTTTAAAAAAGAAGACATACAGTTGGATATACTTAAAACTAGCTTTACAATAAGTGTTCAAATAATTTCCCATTTTGTTGGATACAGAGTCTCGCTCGTCGAACTAATGATTGCCTAGCCCGAAAAGTGGAAAACCTTTTTTTTCTTATTTCATTTGCAGCCTGATGGATTCTTTGAAGTAAATCTTCTTGAGTATTTACTTCAGTCGAGTAAACTAGGCCTTTTAATGACCCCCAAAAATAGAAATCCAATGGATTTAGGTCAAGTGAACGTGGCGGCCACGCTATAGGACCTCCTCTGCCTAACCACCTGTCTGGAAAATTGACATTAAACCAATTTCGAACGTTGCGTCCAAAATGTGCAGGGGCGTCATCATGTTGAAAAAACATATTTTCTTGAAACTGCTGGCGCACATTCAATGGTATTATATCCATGAGCTCATTCTGAAGAAAGTTCAGATACACCTCTGAATTAAGACGATTGGGAAGTACAATAGGCTCAATTACTTGATCCCCAATTACTCCTGCCCATAAGTTCAATGAAAATCTATGTTAGAAATTTGTACGGCGAACAACTTTTAGATTTTCATCTGACGAGTGATGCATGATATGGAAATTAAAAGCACCATTCCTAGTAATATTGACTCATCCGACCATAATATTCTAGGAATAGTGTTTTCATTTGCTAATATCCACTGGCAAACCTCGATTCGTGGTAAAAAATCTGTCTCCGTTAAATGCTGCACCCGTTTAAAATGATAAGGATGTAATCCTTGCATTCTTGTCATTCTTCCTATCTAAAATTATTATTTTTAGGATAACTCTCAAATAGGTATTCATACATTTTTCTTACTATTGATCGAGGTACATCCATATTTTCTGAAACATTTCGTATGCTTTTTTGCGGATTATTTACAAACATATTTAAAGCAATATCCATACGATGATTTCCCAGTGGCCTTCCTGAGACCTGCATGCACTGAAAACTTCCATGGTTTGACAAATTCCGGTGAATATCAGTAAACATTCCACGTCCAGGTACTATGCGATTGGAAAATCTTCTTTGATATTCTCTTACGGCTGCCAATGAACTGCCATTGCAAAACCCGTACACAAAATGCATGTCAGTCAGTTCTCTCTCTGTAAATGTTAGCATTTTAAATCGATTTAATAAAAATTTTGATTTTAATCTAGTAATTTTACACTGCTAACAATGACAGCTTAACGTCAAAATAAGTCATAACAAATCAAAACCACTTTTGTTTGCAGTCATAGCTAACTATGTATAATCAACAATTTATTTAAATTCGCAGTATATTTCCTATCATGTGACAAATTTTTTAGTTTGATTTTATTCAAAACTGGCACAATTTATCGATATTCAATAAGAGTTATGTAGAAAACCCTAAATTTTCAAATTGAATTTCAAAAATAGAATCACATACGCTTCCAAACAAAACTGTCTAAAACTGTAAATATTTTTAAATGCAGCATAAAAAACTAGGCTAGGATACCAAATTTTATGTCTTTATCTTAACACGTTTCGGAAATATTAAGGAAAAACCATCTTCAGGGGAGCCCCTTTAAAAGACCGTAGCGCCCTTAGGGAACGTTTGTCGACCTATATTTATATAAACTTTTCTTCCTATTTTAAGCTCTAGAAACCGGTGGTAGAATATTGCACACTTTTTTCGGGACACCCTGTATATGAATTGTAAACAGTTATCTTAGAATGTTTCTATGTCCTTAAGGGTAGCAAAGTCGGTAGAATCAAATTACACATTCAAGTAATTAAAAGAAGCTTATACGATATAAGTACAAATTACGAAATATTCAATTTGGCTCCAAATAGTCTAAATGGCAACGTCGCACTGCAAGGTAGATTATTGCTGCTTTCCTTTTACACGGAGTATATGGAATTTATCCTGTCAAAAAAAAAAGATTCTAAAGCTACCTGGAGCTGTCTTCGGAGATTAAGCATCATCAGCAGCAACTTGAAAGAGTTACCTGGCCATCTGCAGGACGTTAATGACGTAAATAAGTATTTTTCTAGTTTACCTACCATTGTTAAGTCTGGATTACAAATCAAACTGCTGGAAAAATATAACACCAGCCAGCAAGCCAGAAAATTCACATTCTCCCAAATAACTTGCCACGATGTTATGGGATTTTTCCAGAGTATCAAAAGTAATGCCTTGGGTGTTGACGGAATCAACCTAAATATGCTAACAATCATATTCGATTTGCTAATTGAAAATATAACTTTCATCATCAGCTATGCAATTGCATCGTTAAACTTCCCCAACTTTTGGAAAAAATCAAATGTTCTCCCCTAGCTAAAATAAGTAACCCTAGAGATATTTCACATCTGAGGCCGATAAATATACTACCAGCATTTTCCAAGTTATTAGAACTAGCCATGAAACATCAGGTATCTGACTAAGTCTTCTCTAATGGTATCATTCCTGAAATCCAATCGGGCTTCAGGAAAAACCACAGCATAACAACAGTTCTGGCTGGCATCACGGATAACTTAATCAGATGTGTAGATCAAGGAAATTTAGTATGCTTAGTGTTACTTGATTATACAAAGGCTTTTGATACTCTGCAACCATCTATTCTTGTGGAACAGTTTATATACTTCGGTTATTCGGAGTCTGCAATTAATTTTGTATTCAGTTATTTCACTGACAGGAGTCATGGTTGTGATTGGGTCAAGTATATAAAAGGAGATACCAGTTTAACTAGGGGTCCCATTCTGGGACCATTATTCTTCTCAATTTACATTTCTAACTTCCACGAGTACGTTGAACACTGCAGTATTCATCACTATGCTGACGACACTCAATTGTACTTTGGCTTTGATATTAAAGACTTAAAAAATGCCGAACATTTGATTAATAATGATTTAATGAATTTATCTAACGTATATTGTGCCCATAATCTCACAATCAACCCTTTAAAATCATCCGCAGTTATATTTGAACCAAAAATCAAAAAAAGTCAGGCAAAACCATTACTGTCATTGAGCATTTTAGACCAACCGATCCCTATAAAAAATGAGTGCAAGAATTTAGGCCTCTGGATTGATTCTGATTTGAGGTTTGAAAAACATGTTAGTCAACTATGCCGAACATCATTGGGTGTCTTGAAGCAATTATTTCCTTATAGGAAAAGTATGAATACTGGTCTCAAGCTGAAGTTGTGCGAAACCTTAATATGATCTAGAATTCACTACTGTGAGATAAGGAGACTTCAGACTATTCAAAATGCGTGTCTCAGATTTGCTTGTGGAGTGAGAAAATAATTTGAGACAGTATCACATAAATATCGTGAGCTGGGTGTTAAAAAAATAGAAGAGCTACAAAAAATGCGCGTATTGACCTTGACCAATAAAGTAATCAACAACACAAGCCCCTCCATGTCTATCAACCAAATTTATCAGATACTCAGATGTTAATCAACTGAACACAAAGAATAAACATATCTTGGTTATCCCTAAACATTCAACATCTCTATTTAAAAGATCGTACATATACATATACTGCTATCAAGCTATACAACGTGTTGCCTACCGAGTTCACTCACTACTCTATACAGAATTTCAAAAAAAGATTGATTATCTCTAATTTCATTGCCCAGTAAGTAAACCATGGCTATGAATAGGGACTCATTACAGGTTTTTTTTATTTTTTGTTTTCAGTGGGATTAGAAAATGTATACAAATATTTGTTGGGTTAAGTTCAAAAACGCTTTTTAGCGACACTTCTCCTTTTTATACTTTGTATAAAAATAAATAAAGCCGGATTATTATTATTATATTATAAATCTCAACTGTGACGTGATTCAGGCAAACCATTGGTAGGTGGAGATCGTCAGGTTTTTCGTCTACCTGTGCTCAGTATTTTGAGTTTTTCAAGCGACTAGTCCCACTTATTTGCTTTCCGTTCATATGTCTCCAAGATAATTACACCTATACCGCAATGATGATCTGCTAATGAGTACGAAACAGCGCTGTCTGCGGCTGGTCCTGGTTACAGAGGTTACGCCTATTTTGTTTTTCTGCTGAGTAAAAAAAGTTGCTACTGTTTCTATGAATTTTGAGGAGAAGGGAACTATGTTGCTGAAAGAATCAGGTATATACGTTATTTAGTTTATAAATAGGATGGATATCATAGTCTAGTTTTCGGTGAGCTAAAATATCTGTGTTTAAACGGAAACAAAAAATGAAATGGAAGGCGGCAGAATCGAAATAAGGCCCACATAACCAAAATGTCATTTTCGCGTTTGACTGTTCCTCTTGCAAGTGAGTAATGACGTCATTATCTGTGTATGCACAATTATCTCAGCCCAATTTTGTGTACAAAGAAAGCAGCATATGTTCCCATCTATCTCCTGTCAAATAAGCAGCTTTCCCTTACTGACAACGCGACGTTGCCATTTTGCTTATTTCCGACTTTTGACTACAAGCTTGAAACGCTCAAGCTGTCTCAGTAAGATAGAAATTATTTAATCACATAATTTTTTTATAGAGTGATGATGTCACGATATGTATGTTCCAATATCCAGTGAGTAAATTAACGAAATTAGAAGCAGCTCAAGTAAGTACTGTACATTAAATTATCGTTATTACATACATCCATTTTTTATTGTGATTATTGATGATGACGATGGCTTTTTTTAGTTTGAAATGCTGATAAAAACACTGATTATACAAAAGCCTTTAGTCAAAGCATCAGATATAGTCACGATAAATTCTCAGCTGCTAGCATCTGTGAGTATTATGGTTGAACTTATTTCTTGTTTCACTCTACTTTTTTAGTCAGCTTTAGGCAAATCAGTTAGCCAGTTTTGCAAATTGCAGTGATTTCAAATTAACTTTTTTGCAACAAGATTTCATCTAAACCTGTGCTCAAAGTGGACAACAGTGCCCCCTTGTGGGCGCTGCGGGGGGCAGTAAAGAGCCTAAAGGACATTGGGGTCGATGAATTGATTTACCTTGAGATAATCAGATGAAAACGACTTAGCCTCAAAGCCGCCCCTTCCTGAACACGCCCTTATTACATGTCTTTTTATGTTTCAGATATCTGGCACAGTTCTAACTTACGTCCTCGTCGGTCTCCAGTTTCGCTCAGCGTGGTTAAAAGACTGACTTTGCTTTGGTAGCAAAATGGTCAAAACGATGAAAGTCGTTCCAACAAATGTGAACAAAACCAAGTGTATATGCTTCTGCGAAATGTTTGGCCCTCTTTTTAAGACCATAAGAATGTTTGCCTTGTTCCCATTAACATGGAAGCATGACGGCAAGTGTATCTATACATGGTCATGGCCCTGGGGAATATACACCTTTGTATGCATCATTGCTCAGGGGCACCTAGCAGTTTCATGCGCCAGCTACTCTACAATGTTTTCAGCGGATAAACCGGTCCTCAGTGCTTTGGATAACATAACATCTGTCATTTACAGTCACTACGTCTTTGCAACACTTGCAGTGAACCTACTCAGAGTACCTCAATCGCTGAAAAATCTTGAAACATTTGCAAATTTGCCGGAAGAGTTGATTTGCAATTCTGCTAGAAAAACGGGTCGTAAGATTCAACAGTACATGATGTATTTTAATTATTTTATCGTTATAATACATGCTGTACTGTTACTATGGGTAAATTTTACCAATGAATATAATGAGGATGGACTACGTACTTTGCTGAATCGACTAACTCAATGCTATCCGTTCGCGACGTATCTGATTCAGACAACTTTCATTGGATGTGTGGACTTTGCAATGGTATGCCAAGAACGAATAGCTAAAAACGCCTATGGATACGTGAAGTTATATCCAAACGTGGATCTGAACGAATCTAACAACAACCGGAAATTTTTGTTCGTTCTCTCTTATAGAGTCTGTAGCGAAGACCATAACGTCTCAAAAGATTTTAGAAAAAAGTCGACATGTGAAGTTGTAGAGCGACTAAGATTCCTACATGAAGAAGTATGCAAAACTTTGTATCTGGTGAACTCTGCTGGGAACCCGTACTTTTTGGTGCATATGCTTGTAGAATGGTTGGTGTTGGTGATCCATTGGTACGCTGTGCTGGTTCACATGGTACACAACCTGCCAGGATCTGCTAATGCTGCAATTCACACCAGGAATTGTATCTTCGTATTTTTTCATACTATAGGTTTAATCTACTTCTTAAACATCGCCCATAAGATGAAGGACCTGGTAAGCAATTTATGTTTCAGGATATCAAACTGGAATACAGGGTGTCCTCAGAGTTGAGACTTTTTTACAGAGCGTATAGGTCAGGCAATAATAAGCATGTTTTTTAGTAACATATATACCACAACTTTTGATATGATCATCTTCAAGATTCTCTTGATACTCCGCGAGTGTGAACAGAACGTCGAGATCGTCCTCGATGTTTCCTTTCATCAGAGCTGCATCTGTTTGTTTATATCGTACCAAAGCCGTCAGACTGAACATAGTCGATGGCCTCGTCAGATCCAAATGTTTTTGAATCGAACAGCGACAACTTCAAGCAATATTCAAGCAAAAAATGTGACAGGGCAGTATTTCTGAGCAAATTAGCTTTGGCATTGCAAACGTAGTTGACGCTGAAAGGGAAAGTCCTAACTTTAAGGAATGGACAGAATGCCCAGTTGCGCAGGGTATCCGAGAATCATATGACAATCTATTGGATGCTATAGAACACGAACGAACTATGCCACAAGTTTATATAAAAAATGGCATAGAGCATGTTGACTCTGCACTCCTCACGCAACATCGTTATTGCTTCATAAAGTACATTCAGGACAAGTGAGAAAAAAAGCTACCTACGAACATATAATAAAATAAATTAAATGGATCAGGTTAGTCAAAAAGGTTTATACAATTGATTCATAGTTCCCACCCACTTGACAACGCCGCAATCTAAAAGTTTCACCTCTGCCTTTTCGACAGTATCAACCATCCGCCAACGTTGCTATGACTACCCTCTCTACTCGTGGCGTAAATATATTCAGAGTTGCGTGTATTGGAAATAATTCTCTATCAAGTTTTAAGTGCAAACATACTGGGAAATCTGAAATGTGTGTAATATGTTAAATAGATGCATAGAATTACCGAAGTTGAGATATACACTCCCCACGCCCTGCAACCCCCAATTTTTAACCCACGCAATTTTTTTCTAAAACGCTAAAAACCAAACGAAGGGAATTACAAAGCATCTTTACATTCATTACCAGGAGCTTCGATGCCTCTAGATTGATTTTCAAAAACTGCTAAACTGTTTCGTCCTTGGCATATAAGTACAGTGTCTATCTCTCAAATACAGCTAAGGAACGCTACTGAAAATCATGTTATATTTTGAACGAGACTGTGTAATTCAATGAAATATTAACACCAGTTTAGTAATCAGTGTTAGTTATTTCCGTTTCACACTATCACGTAAAGCCTCATTAAATTTCCACGTTGTTAAAATTTCGTCGAATGATACGCTATCATTTGACAGTTGTTTATGGGGTTATGGAAAATTAATTTCCAGTAACGCCCTTAAGCGGATTGTATATTCATAAAAAGCTTAGCAGGACATTTTTGATAAGAACATGTGGCATTACTTTTTGTGGTCTATGCACATTCGCAACTGCCAACTTATCCTGTGACACCCTGTAGGTGTACGGCGACTTTTTGTTTCCCTAAAATGTTTTTTCTGTTTCCTTTGACTCACTTTAGCTTTAGTTTTGCTTTCACATCACATCAATCTTTTCTGACCACCTAATAGATATATTTCCAAATATTCAAGAAGAAAATAAAAAAATGGGAGATCGCCAAGCGTTTTATAAGGCAAAGCTATTTTTCTCATGCCAAGTTGATACAAATGCCAAAACTGTAATTGCCTAGGTTGTTTACAAGGCTCATACAATTTTAGCTTATCTACTATTAGACGTTGAGATGTGTAAAGCATTTCTCATAGGCGTCATGTAAGACATATCACTACTTTGTGGATATGGTCAATATCAGCAATAATTCATCTAAGTTGCTAGGTTTGGGACATGCTGTGTTGGATACTGAAAGTTATCTCCTAAATTTCAATATACTGAGGAGATTTTTTCTACGATAGCCAACAATGTTGAGAAAGACATTTGGTCAGCGGCGGTTTCATCAGCCTACTTCTTATTCCATAAGCTTTAACCACGATCATTACAAAACTTCTGACCCGTAGTCATATTTGTCTGCTTTTGTGTTTCAGATTCAAACTATGAGAGTCATTTTGCTAGAATATTCCACGCGAGTAACGGAAGTACGGACATTACAACAAATCCGGATCTTCCTGCTAAAGTTGGATCATTACCGTCCGCTGTCTGCTAACAGAGTATATGAAATTGATCTCAAAGTTGCAGTGTCGGTATGAACTAAAAGCCTTTTAGTTTTCCGACTAAGAGTAGCCCAGGAATATTAGGCATTTACTCCTAAAAAATATCAGATGCACTTTTTGCAGTGTGACATTCCTGGGCTACTCTAAACCCCTGAATCACCGAATATACGATGCAGTAAAAACTCGTAACCAATCTAAAGTGCTTTTGACCGATGCTCTTGGTCAAGATTGGTTTTGCCTGACTTGGGGTTCAGACTGTCGATCAAAACTAATAATAAGTTAGGATAGTTACTGAAAATTACCAGAACAATCATCAAAAAGTTAATCCAACTATTTTTAAAAAGTGCTTTTGACCCATTGTGAGTTTTGACTGCAACATATTCACCCTTTTTGCACCACCACTGACCCGTTTGCAGATGCTTATTTGATAAATGTTAAAAAGGTTGCTAGTTTAACAAAATGTTAAGTTTAAGCTGTTTTGACGTTATGTGCGACACCCTGTCGAGCGACATGCCATATTCATATTCACCAAAACATTATGGCGCCTACTGAAAGGTGTGCCGTTTGTTATAGCACAGTCAAACGCTGGTAAGTGTGGAATGACATCCTATTAAAATTACTATGGCAGTAGTGCATCTGTAACGCTACGACTTATCAATACAAGCCGTTTCGAGCTTAGCCCGTTAGTTATTTTTGTCAACACGCACCCGCTCGAAAAATAACCCTAGTTCTCAAAGAGTCTGAAAGGAGCCTCCGATGTTACAATAGGTATCTCCCATTTTAACCTCCCCACCTAAATGTTCTAAAAGCTACGCATCCTAGAAAAATGTTTGGAAGAAACGCTCTAAGAATTCGAGGGGCAAAATGACGTTGACTTTCAAGGTCATTTGAAGGTCGAGCGATAATTTTCAGACAGAACCCCCTTCGCCACACCGTAATTGAAAAGAGGAGGGGAATCTACGTCCGAATATGACTTTGGCCATGACCATAAACATGACCTTCTGGGACATTTCAAGCTCAACTCGACATTGAAAACAATTTGCTCTAGCAAAAACATTCGACAGCACAGTTGTGAGGTCTGTGGGGGCACTCAAAGGTGACCTTGACAATAACCTTGAATTTGACCTTTATCATGACCTTGTCCATGACACCTTCAAATTTAAGCGAAAATTTTCCAAGGAACCCCCTCATTTTTATCCTAGAATTGGGAAAATCAGAAAATTTTACGTCCGCTTGTGACCTTGAACCCAAAGTTAAGGTCATGTCAATCTTGAATGTTATTTATAAGGCAACCTGTAAAGTTTTGACATGATCTTGAAGATGATGGTCAAGGTCATGATCAAGATCATCTTTGGTTTTCCTCCTCTTTCCAATTCCGGTGGAAAATGGGGAGTCCCATTTGAAAATATTCGTTTGACTTCGAAGTGACCTCAAATGTCGCGGTCAAGGTCATATTCAAAGTCACCATCACCTTGCCCCCTCGAAACCCTACAACTTTCGTTTATTCTAGGATGCTTAGTTTTCAAAACATTTAGGTGTGGAGATTAAAATGGGATAGTGTGGCAAGATGAACATCGAGAATCAAAGTGACACCTATTATGAGGACTTTATCACAAAATAGGTACTCTCAAAAAAAGACGGCGGAAAAGTAGCTATTAGTTCACCAGGGAGATAGTGTTCCACCCATACCTCCTATATTACCTCTCAAAAATATAAATTTAGTGTAGCTTTATTGTAAGGGAGGCAGAAAGAGAGTATAGGGACCAACCCTGACATAACTATCAATATTTTTTCAGATATTTGCCAACATTTTGACATACGTGCTGGTTGCTCTGCAGTTTGAAGTATCTGAGGGCTAAACAAGATCGATGTTGTGTCATACTCAGGACTTGTAACAAAAAAAATCGATATTGCATTATACTCAGTAAATATATATATATATATATATATATATATATATATATATATATATATATATATATATAATAAATATGTCAGAAGTAACTGTGTTTTATTGATCAGAAACTTGAGTGAGGATCCTGAAAATCAAAAAACACAAATACAATTTTAAGCTCAATGTAACGGTCTGAATATGTTCTCGCCTTCATTGCTATTAGGTCCTGTTCCTGCTACCAACAGTCTAGTGGGAAATCAAACTGAGCGAATGGAAATCGATCCGCGTTTGCTTTACGAAACAAAGATTGATAAGCCCTCTTCAAATGAGCGTTACTGGAACCATCATACCATTATTGGAGTCAAACGCTAAATACTTAGGTATACTAAGAGTCAAATGGAAGCTCCATGTCAATACAAAAGAGGAAAGAACTGAACTTTCGCTACAAGTAATATTATTAGTTATTGGGAGCTATCGGTCCATTACAAAATAATGATCTATAATCAGATCTTAAAACTTGTATGGCTCTATATTTGACTAGTTTGGCGCTGTTCGAAGAAGTCAAACATCGAGATCATTCCAAGACTTCAAAATAAAGTTCTGAGGAACAGGTATATGCCGCTTGTTATGTTCGTATTAGGGACATTCATCGTGATTTGAATATCGCTTTAGTTATCGACGAGATCGAAAAAGTAGCGGCCAGCCACAAAGAAAGGCTGCATCAAAAACCTAATGCGGAATCTCTGCAGCTTCTGGACAACCAAAACGCTGCCCGAAGAGGACCAAGTGTACGAACTTATGTAGTGTTTTATATCTAAAGCATAGCATGTGCATGAATTCTTAGTGATAGTAGTAATTGTACGTTAAGATTTGTCTCTAGTGATAAGAATTAGTTTGAAAAACGACACCAGAAAGTCAAAGGTAAATCAAATCGATCTGTTTCGATAATCTGGCATTGAAGGCACTCTAAGCGCACAAAAGGCATTGCTATTACAGTAACACCGATAGATCTCATTCAGTCCAGAAAGTTTTTTTTGAGAGTGTAATAACTAATATGTTAAATCAACTAAAAGCTTCAGATGTAGATTATATTAGAGATATCATGATTATATTTGATATCCTAATAATTCGCCAATTACTCAGATTCATTAAACATATTGGTCGATTAATTTGTCATTAGAAATGAATTAAAATCAAAATTACGTAGTATCACAGAATGTTCACGACTTAAAACCCTACATCGGTGACAACACAACGGTTTGGGTGCTTAATGCTAACTGATGATCAGTAACGATGAAGTTGAAGTCAGTATCCAAGACCAGCAAGATAGAGATATCAAAAGCTGGAGAGGATATGATGTGTTTTTGCAGAGTGTTTACCCCTCTGTTCATTATCATGCGACTTTGTTTATGTTTTCCTGTTGTTTGGTACCATGAGGAGGAATGCAAGTTTGAATGTTCATTAATTTGGTGCGTATATACATTGACGGGTAGGTATATTGTACTTACTTTTGATATATATTCAGTCGGCAGGACAAGTTTCTGACGAAGTAACGCAAAATTCAAATTCAAAATTTCGTTTATTATCTTTAAAATAAAATAAAGCTTACAGAAATATGCAATTTACCTAATAGGAAACCCACAGAAGGCATAGACTTTTGAATGGGAAGGTTTATACCCAATACGTTAATCAAATTAGTAATTTGAGCCAAAATTCCAAAACTGCATAACAACAAAACATTCAATTCACACCTTAAAATATCAAAAGCAATAAAAAAGAAATGTTTTTAAGCATATTTCAGTAATAGGAAGTATTAAACGGATCAACCAATTGGTGTACTTTTACTTTTAGTCTAATCGCATTAGCAAATTTCCCCGAAATAATTGTAAAGTCTGGTTTTTATTGATGGTTGTTAAAGGTGGTATTTAAAACATGTACGCATAAAATGGATACACCAAGTTTTGTGGGAAAACTTTTATTCCTTATTTTATTTTTATTCGACAACAAAGAATGATAAAACATGTTTTTTTGGGATTCAATTGAAAGTGTTGTCGGGAATCAAAAAACTTCTCTAGGTATTTACGAGATCTACAGAATGAGACCAGACATAAAAAGATCGAACTAGTAGTAAAAAAGTTATGGCCGAAAACCAAGGCAAAATGCAGGTTATGGCTTTTGTTGCTAATGCACGATGAATTCACACAGCTACTTGAAATTCTTCAAATCTGTAGGCTGTATACTTCTAAATAAATACAACAAAATTGGAGTCAATTGGTCAGGTAGTTTAGTCTAATGGTTTCACATGATTAATTTTTTTTTTATTTTTTTTTCTAAACCCACAGCATTTTTTTTTCTCATTACTTGTCAATAAAATTTCGTGAGAATGTTATCCTATTATTCTTGATATAAGACTTTCTCATTGCCAAAAAATCAAGTTGACGAAATTATTGTTTATGTTTATAACACTTCTAATGTTACAAAGTGAATTTTCAAGTCGCTTATGTATAACAGAAAGAGTAAGGGCCCGAAATATGAGCCTTGGGGAATTCCTGTAGTAGGCGTTATAACCCGCGAACGGTATCCTTCGTATTCAACCTAGTGCCTCCTATTGAAGAGATAAGAGGATAAAAAAGCACATTTTTTTTAATAGGATGCCTAAATCTATTCTATGAAATGCCTTTTCCATGTCCATATAAACAACATCAAGTTGGCGCCTATCATCAAATGTTTCGCAAATAGTTTGAGTCAAGCAAGCAAGGTTAGTAGTAGTATACAGGGTGTAAACGTTATGATAGTCATTATTTAAATGGGTGGTAGAGAATCTGACAACGCCGCAATGCCCGACGCAAATTTCGACGGAACGCAGTGTAAATAAAGATGGAGTTTGTTATTTTTGGCTCTTAGGTATTATTTCATTATTTGATAATGTACTCGTAAAATGCAAACAATTAAAAAAACGTACTTACCACTAACTGTCTCAGCGCTTCACCTGGTGTGTGAAAGTTTATTGAACGTATTAAAAAAATCCACTTATAAATAGGAAACACAATTTTGATACATACATTGTTTTTCTTTTTAAAGCCCACACTGCACTTTTTTTGTATTTAAAGAAGGTGTTCAAAATGTCGTCCTCCACTTTCCATACAAGCTTCATTACGACGAAACCAGTTTCTTCCGGTTTCTTCTTACTCTAGGTCAGAGTTCCCCAAACTTTTTTGTGTCGTAGACCCCTTGCCATGTTTTTCCTTGTTGGGTAGACACCCTACTTACCTGATATTGATTTCCTGTAAATATCTAACTGTAGTGAAGTTTAGTGTTAAAAAGTAAAAAGACATGTTAATTTATACATTTATTAACTGAATTTAAATTAAAACTACTCAAAATCAAATTTTGTATCTGTTATGTAAAATATTAAACATTAAATAAACAGGTGTCTGACCAATAAGTGCCCGCATTGGCAATAAGTGCCCGCATTGAAAAAAAATAAGAGGGATAAAATAAAAAAAAAGTGAAAAATAATAAAAAAAAAGTTTTTTACTTAAAATAGTACAATAAGCGAGTTCGTTTATTAATTATAACATAAACGTGTGTTCTACAATAATTTCACTGTTAGTTTGATTAAATTCCGCTTCTTATACGTTTAAGTTATCTAAAAATAGGCAAAAAATTAACGAATTTTAGTGTGTACCTATCCTTGAATTTTCAGAATAATTTAAAAAAAAATATTTTCTATAATAGGGGTTCTTTAAAAAAATCAATGTGGGCACTTATGCCCAATGCGGGCATTTATTGGTCAGACACCAATAAACATAAAATAAAGTATAAATAAAATAACATAAGTAATAAGTCAATATTTTTAGTGAGACGGATGAACCTGATGCTTTAATAATAAATTATCAACATTTGGCGTCAATTTTGTAAGGGTTAATCTTAAATCTCCTCTCCTTTTCGTTAGGAGATTGGTAACAGCGCTGAACCCCCTTTCCACTAGGTATGACGATGGAAAGGAAATTAAAAATTTCCTCGCTATATTCCATAATACGGGATAAGTAACGGGTATGTTGTTTTGCAGCCAGAATTGCTGATATCCGTTTTTAAACTGAACCTTAAGTTCTTCGTTTGTACTCAGTTCAGTCAGTTCCTCTTGTATTATGACATTCGTTTCTTCTATGTCACCATATGGATTCATTATCCACGGTGGTATTACCATAGTCAAAATATCCTCAAACCTAGATTCAAAATCTGAATAGAGGGCATTTAAATGTTGAACGTAAGTTGAAACGTCGTCTTCCTGGCAGCTTGTCTGTGACAAATTGGGGAACTGAGAAAATGCGCCCGTCCAATATTTTGCTTCATTAGTTTAAATCTGGCAAGAAACGCTGATAAGATGGACTTTGTTTTAATCAAATTTAAACTGTCGCCTTGTAATTGCAAATTAACCATATTAAATTTTGTAAACAAATCTGTTAAATAGGCGATGTCTGTTTTCCTCTTCATTAAATTTTCTTTTAAAATGTTATCTTTAGTATCCAGAAATTCTAAAATGGTCTCAAAAAGCGCAAAAAATCTTGTCAAACATAAGCCTTTCGACAGCCAGCGTACTTCAGTGTGAAGGAGTAACTGATGAAAGTGTTCGTCATTTTCTTCACACAACTGCGCAAATAACCGCGTATTCAACGCGTTGCTTTCTATTCGGTTTACTGCATCAATGACTAAATGAAGTGATTCATGCAATCTAACACTCAAATTTTTAGCAACTAAATGTTGTCGATGGATGACGCAATGTATTGCTAACACCCCTGACACATTTTGTTTTAAATAGCTTATAAATCCACGATAACGTCCAACCATGGCAGGTGCTCCATCTGTAGCTACTGATATTATATTTGATAAAGGAATTGCTTTTTCAATGAAGTAATCCTTCAAAACATGAAATATTGATTCACCTTTAGTGTCGGTTATCAAAG